GCTTTCTCTGTCAAATAACTTTTTATGTTATCAACAGATGTATCTGGTGCCAGTCTAGACACAAATATTGCCTTTCTGGGAGAAACTGCCTTCAAGCATATGTCATCTGTACTAGGAGCAGCAGGGTAGGGAGTTAAGAGTTGGGCAAAATATAGAAGGGGTAACCACACTTGCACGAACAGGTTGTGCGACGTGCCTAGTTTAGCGACCGGCGTTCACATTCGAACAGCCAGGAGGAGAGGACGATTTACTATTACCATTATTAGTTTTAGGCGACGACGTCTGAGAAGATTGGGTGACATCAATGGGACGAGATACCCTTGCCACTTCAGCATAGCTTAAGCCAGAAGGACTTCCCGGCTTTTTTGTAACTTTTAAGTTACCGACCGACTCAGCAGTAGCAGAAATGCTAACATTCTTTGTAGACTTTAAGGAATCGCTAACTTGCACTGATGAAACGGACATAGGAGAACTCAGAGGTAACGAACCAGACGCTATTCTACGAGTTGTAACTTTGCTAGCTGGCGAAGAAGGTGAGTGCGTGAGAAGGGTCAAGTACTGCATCAGCAGCACGGCCGACAATACCAGCACACTGCATGTCCAAAACGATCACACAGCCAACAAGAAATGAATCGTTCAGATTCAGGGCCAGTTTTCGCACGACATGGTGTAAATAAGCAATCCATGTCCATTGAAAACAATAAAAGTGGCTTATGAAAAAAGAAAAACTAAAAAATTCCGCGGCACAAATTTTCAGCAAATTTCTCACTTCTCTGCCCACTGTAAATATAGGGCGAAAGCTAAAGAAACTGTAAACAAAGATTAACACGCAAAAAGAGTGACTTTTACTAAGAGCTCAATTGTTGATTACACTAAACCAAAATGATTTTTCCACATAAATGGTTATTAAATTTATATACGTTAAATTCACACTTTTTTCTTTTAGAGAACTTTTAAAATTAAACACGAATAAAGCAAAAAAGCTAAGAAATACACTAAAAAAATTTAAATATTTCTTGCACAGAATAAAAACGCGACTACAACACGCACGCAGAGTTGCCAAACTGAAACAGCCAATTAAAAACAGATCCCGCCAAGGTAGAGGCCATGACCGATTTTGCTATGCCTAAAACTCCGAAGCAGCATCGAAGGTTCATCGGCATGACTAGTTGGTATCGCCGTTTTATCTCTAACTACGCGGAAATCGCTAAACCCCTGCATGACTGTCTCACAAAAGAGCGAGTGAAGAACTTCGCATTGTCAGAGAATGCCCTGGAAGCGTTCGACCAGCTAAAAAAATGTCTCGTTACCACGCCAGTCCTAGTTACGCCAGAGTTCACGAAGCACTTCCATTAGCAATGCGATGCGTCAAGAGAGGGCGTGGGGGGAGTCTTATTCCAAAGAGACAGCGGCGAGAATGAGAGGCCCATTGCATATGTGTCGGCAACGCTAAATAAAGCCCAAAAAAATTACACGGTGGCGGAACCGAGAACCAAAGACGGTAACACCTGTATATTTGTCTGGTCGGACTACTTCTCCAAATTCGTGCTACTCAAACCGATAAGGAAAGCCAGTTCCGAGGGGGTTATCAGATACTTGGAGCAAGACGTTTCCCACATGTTTGGAGTGCCGGAAATGTTACACTCCGACAATGGCAAATAATTCATTTCAACGGCGTTCCAGGAGTTCCTGAGGAAGTATGACGCCCAACACATCAAGACCGCATTCTACGCGTCGCAAGCAAACGCAGCTGAGTCAACAGATCCATACTACAGATAATACGATCATACGTCGCGGAGGATCAAAGGAGGTGGGACACCCATCTTACCGAGGACGCCTTTTCGTTGCGGAGTGCAGTACATAGTGCCATAGATATGACACCCCTTTATGCGCTATTTGGGTTAAACATGGGAAGGGAGCATATGAAGAGGCAAACGCTCTGCCGCCGTGAGTTAGGCCGTACATAAACATCGCTAAGTTACAACTTCTGGCGTTGTTCCTCGCACCAAAGAACAAAAAGAAGTTCTCGAGCATTCCAGTGGCATCGTATGTACTCAATTGAGATAACTTTACATTTTTATACTGATTTCTTACAAATCTTAGTTTCTTATGATGCACTCACAAAATTTTTAAGAGATTTTTCAATTACGATTACATGGTTGAACGCATACACAAGCATCCGCCACTGCAAATAGTGGCCAATTTTTTTAGCTAATCTCGTAACTTCTCCTTTATTTGCTACGGCACTTCTGAAATATTTATTGGGTAAAATGCATGAAATGGGTACTAACGTGGAAAGATCGAGTCTGTTTCTAAAGCTTTTCAAGTTGGTATTCGGTAGCGTTAGTTTATTATTACGTTATGAATAAGTCAATGGAATTGGTTTTAATAACTGAGAGCCTTATACCCATCAATCGGCAGAAATGCTCATTATTTATTATATCAGGAATATTTTCCACTGCTGCCTAATTTACTGAAGGGTTTGAATCGCCTGCAACGCAGTTTCCATAAACAACACATAAAAGATTTATTTTTCGAATTGTGTTCAACAGTGGCAGTGCGTTTGGCGTCTTTGTTGCCTTATTTACTGATACTTATGGATCCTTCGACTTCGGCCTTAAACGGTCCAAATACTTTAAAAAGTCAGGTGAGAAAAAATTTCACAAAAAATATTGTTTCAGTATTTATGTTTAAATACAACGATTAACAGTATTTATGTTTATTATTAACGATTATAGGTTTACGAACGTTGGAATTATGTATTGATAATTGCATCGCAATTTTTATGTGGCCATATACTACCCGTTCATGCTGCTCTATGTAAGACTTTACGGGTAAGTATGGAGCTCTAGACAGTTATTTATGTGTGGAGCTGCTCTTGAACATACATTAGTAGTTATGAAAATAGTATTAGTACACGAAATGATTTAATTGCTCATGATCGCGTTGTCTTCATTATCGCTAATGGAAGAATGTTTACCACAGATATTACATAGTTCTGCAAACGCACAGATGTACGTAGAAACATTTTTTTTAAAAAAAGAATGCTATCATGCATTCACATGATTGTTAATTTCTCGCGGAAGAAAGTATTGAATGGCGGGAGACGTTTTGGCGCCATTTCGGTTGATTTTTGGTTTGTCTTGATTTTCGGTAGGAGAGACGTAGTAGGGTGATAAACGAAAAAAGAATTTTTGTTTTGAGAGCTGGTGTCCAAAAGAAAACGAAACGAAGAGTGAATTAAGAATTTTTTTTTGAAATGTAAACTAACTTAATGAACAGGAAAAAGACCAAAATTTTGAAAGGGTAAAAAAATAGGTAAGAAAGTTATATTCGGCGGGGGCCGAATCTCGCATACCCACCACTATGTTTTCGCATTCTAGTCTCCAAGTTCTTTTATTTGATACCCATATCGCTGGTATTGTTAACAAAAAAGTAATCGCGGTTTCTACCAAATTCCTGTTAAAACTAACCCACTTTTAGACAGGTAATATATCTTATTATAAGGAATGATAAATATAGGTTTAAATATTCGGTCATGTTTGCCTTATCCTAAATAAGCATAAGCTTGTGTAGGGGCTCAAATAACTGCTGAGCGAACTGAGAGGATTGTTATATTTGTTGCAATTTTTTTTTTTATTATTCGTTTTGCTGGTGGCAACGTTTTCAATTCAATTATAGGGCAGCACATCTAATTGTAAAATGAACTTCGTTTTTGGTGGACTGCTTTGCATAGTTTAACATCTTTGCTTTTACTGTTAACATATGTTGTCACCACATACGCGGTCACCTTCCTATCACTTGCCCTTTCTTCATATTTTTCTGACTGAAAAGATTTTTTTTTAATTGCAATCCCCATTTTGGGCTGCATACAACTTCGTGCTTCTATTTCTTATAAAAACGTTTCTCATATTGGTTAGAATACAACACATCATAGAGACGTTCAAAAATAAAGTGCACAAAAATGAACTCTCATACGAGTATAACATCAAGGGCACAGTAGCAAAAGTGGCGCTAAGCACTGCATAAAGGCTCTACAATCATGACGGTTAAGCTACGTGCATGAACACAGCAAGTTTCTTTCAGCACAAAATGCGATGCGTGAAATTACCAACGAACCAAACGCTTTGCCTTAAAATCTTTTAAAAGTGAAGGGAATTTTTCATATTCCCTTCAACCTCATTTTTTATATTCGTATGTAAGCTTAACAGATTACCTAATTCTCCAACACTGTCCGTTTTAAGAGGTCATCGCCGTAGACAGAGGTTTCTGTTTTCTTTAATTTTTTTCTTAATATATTTACTATTTCTAACAACTGGATCTTACAATTCAATTGCCGTAAGGAAAAACTTTAAAATGGAGTTGTTCAAATTAAACTGGGCATTTATTTCTTCTTCTATTCAGCGAATTATCAACCGAAAATTCGCTGTGATGTGTGAGAAAAGCCCAATGTGGACACAAATATCTTGGTAGAGCTTTAAGAAAGTTCGGATTAGTTTTGGTATAGACTTATTATTATTTATTTATTTTATTTCTGATTTATAAAATCGGACGTCCCTGATTTTGACGCCCACAACATAATAATCACCTAAATGATATGATTCAATAGCTGTATCGTATGATTTAATTTCATTCTTGTTATATTATTAGTATATAAATATCGCTACATAATATTCACCCGAATTATATAGTTTAAATAATTACTATTAAATACATAGTTTAAATAATTACAATCTCATTTCATTTTATTACATTATTATTACATAAATATCTCTTCGCAATTATATGATTTCATTCCATTTAAATCAAAAGATTATATATTACCATTGTAGCTATGCATATAAATATATATATGCATATTCCCACACTTATTTCATCTACTATGAACCCTAGTTATAACATATATGGCAGGATATACCCGTCCATCCAAGGTAAGTATACATGACGTTGCATTTACACATATGTATATAAAACATGGCTACATGCTCAAACCAGGTAGATCATATGTGTTTGAAACAACAAATACTTGGTTGTAACGTGCAGACAGCCTTTTGCTTGCATAAAGAGTTAAAGTAAAAGTGGATGGATGAGGTAAAAAGCAAGTTGCAAGACGGGTTAATTAACAGAACAATCATTAATATGCAATTATTCCTATATTTGGTTCTAAAGCTATAGGTTTTCGTATGCATTTTTCTGTAAAACAATATGGTAGCACGGCTGCCCATTATCTTTACCTCTTGGGAGTTTTTAACTCGAAATAACGCTTATGTTAGCTCTCTAGGCGGCGGGCGCAAGAACACGCGAAAAGTGGCAACATCTAGTAACGTCAACATACACCTAAAGTTGTAATATTAACCAACGATCTAAATTAATCGTCAAGTTAATTACGGTCCAAACAAAGAACTTTGTGTTTACCTTGGGGCTTATTTATCACTCGTCGAATAATTTGCTTTTGCTCGCTTTACACTCAAGAAGAAGAAAGTGAGGCGAACAAGCAGTTCTGTGTTTTTCAATACGGATATATTTATATTATTTTTACTTCTGATATTCAGTTAAACAATGTCAGTAATCAGGAATCTTATTAAAGAAACGGATAATCCTGCTAGCAAATTGCAAAAAAATAAGGAACTCGACAAAGAAAAAGCGGGCCATATCGTGAAATCTGCATTAGATTTACAACGCTTAAAAATTGAGAAGTTGATGCAAAATCCTGTAAGAAGGTTTGTGCATAAGCTCAAGTGTGCTCGGTAATATTATTTATTTTCTTTAAGAACAAACCAGTTGTTATTCCCGAGCAACGAAAGGAGAAAGATTTTATGCAGAGTGTTCCTACTTTTGTTAGAAATGTCATGGGTTCCAGTGCGGGAGCTGGGTCAGGTGAATTTCATGTTTATCGACACCTGCGGCGAAAGGAATACGCGAGACAAAAAATGATCCAAGCTAAAAGCGTGAAGGAGCAATTAGATGAAGAATACCAACGGAAACTCCAAGAAAATCGAAAGGAAGCTGAAGAGAAAACAGCCAGAAAAAGAGCAAAACGTTTAAAGAAGAACTCGAAGAAATGTCGGTTACAAAAATCTCAATTGCCTAAAAGTAATCATGCTGTGCAAGGCAGTGGAGATTGCCAATGAATCAACGATTTTCATTAGAAAACCGGGGCATGTCTGCAGATTTCATTGCCGAAAGAAGAAATGTGGTGGGAAGTTGTCTTACCATTATGTAGTTAAATATTTTGTGGCATTAAAATGTTTAAAAATTTATTGATTCTGGAAAAACTGGAATAAAATGAAATTGGTTAAGAAATTACTTGAATTCATAAAGTATTTATTTCCAATATGCTTTACTGGTAGACTGAACGTGAAGCAATGTAATTCGTTTAAAATTTTGATTTTGAAATTGTAGTTTACACAGTAAATTTTCTTTAAATTAAGACGATTTCAAATTTTCTTTAGGATCCCATAGGCAAAAATTGCGTGAAAATAGTTGCAGAAAGAGTAGAATGTGTCGGACACACCAGCACTTCGACTAAATTTATATTTGTTTTAATTGAAAAATTTTGCATTAAAAGTTGGCTTAATTCAATTTTTTACTTAAATTGAATTTGAAAAATTCCTGCCTTTATGTCTATACTGTCGTAAATAGTAACAAGTATCATCATTGGACGAATATCGAGCATAAAAGCATTTATTAAGTTTAGTTTGAACTCACTTAAGGATCTTAAAATAATGTGGATTTTATTTCAAAGTAGTTAGCTGAGAATTAGCACTCATGCTTATCTCCTCGTTATATTTTGCACTATGCAGCAGATATTTTCGCCATATTTTATACTTCTATTAAACGCATAATAAGATTTTGTTTTGCTATTCTCGATTCAATTTTAAATTGTAACAATATATATATGTATAGGTATACGTATATATATTATATTTATATATGTGTGTTCTGCAATATTTGAAGTAAATTTGTAGCTTTAAACAATATTGTTTATTTTTTTAATATTGTTCTTCTTTAGCTTGACAGGAGGGCAATTAACCAGCGCCGAGTGGTCAAGGAACATCTTAACGGCATTCCCAAACTTTAACTGTGTTATCCACGCTGCCGGAGATTACATACGGGAGTTTTTTGTGAAAATCTGTAAATATTAAATCTAGATAATAACCATTTTATTTACTTTGCCCAAAGATTACTCAAAACTTACCGACTGATGTGCAAAAATGTTGATGAGCATATAAAGTCTTCATGAATCGTTTGTTGCGTAAATCCCAAACTCGAATAGTTTTATCATCACTAGCCGACACAAGATATTTGCCCCCAGGATGGAAAGTTAACTCGCGTACCCAATTATCATGCCCGGTAAGAACAAATAAACATAAGCCAACACCAACATCCCAGACCTGAAAATAGTGAGGTTTATCTTCGTTAGTTTTCTTCTCGCGTAATAAAAAAATCATATTCGCCTTGACGAAAATTTTGCTACCCACCACCCAAGTTTTTCTGTTAATTTGAAGAACGTCAGTGCGTTCATAGAAAATTGTTGTACACCCCTACGTGTTACAGTTGGCAATATGGATATATTGTGTATTTCGCTTTCCCTTTGAGGTTGCTCAGAGAACAGAACAACTTCAGATTTATTCAAATTAGCCACTTTTGGCGTGTATTTCTGGATGTTATGTACGGAATGACATAATTAATAAAATGCATTTGTGGGTGGTGAGCACAAAGACCATTACTGTGCACTGATTTGTAATATTACACGAATAGTTTTATCCCTTGAGCCAGAAGCAAGAAATGGACCTTGATGGTGTCCTTTCTTATTGTCAGAGCCTGTAGCTTCATTTATATGCGTGGTAGAAATATCTGGAGCCCAAGCAATGCATTCGACGGTGTGATCATGAGCACGTAATTCCGCCTACCGAAAATGCACATGTAATAATACAATTATTTTTATTAAGTATTAAAAAGTTACTTTGCACTCCCTTGAATTTATGGACCAAATGCGGATCGAGTGATCAATTGAACATGAAGCAAAAATGTTACCATCCATATGCACACGTACCATGCGTATCCATTCCCTGTGTCCAGAGTAAGTTTTTACGCAATAACTGCATAGAAAAAAAAAAGTCCAGCCTAACATCTATTGATTAGTTCAGTTTCTTACAGTTTAGTACTAACCCTGTTGCCACCTCCCACATTTTAATGGTTTGATCACGAGAAGCCGAAAGAACGTAGTCGCCAGCTGGTACAAAAGCTACCGACGATACATTATGATCATGTCCAAGCATTGTTTTAACGCAGTCGTAACTTTGCTGAAAATCCCATAATTTTATTGATAAGTCTGCGCTACATGATGCTAAGAATCAATATGCGTTAAAGGCAATTCAATACAACAAACGAATCAATATGCTTCAATACCCAAAAGTTTTCCTTGAGAATCAAAAGCAATATCTTGCACTGAGCTTGTGTGTCCTTTAAGACTTCGTTCGTACTCTCCGGTCTCGAAATCCCAAATTTTAATTACAGCATCTTCCGAAGCTGACAGCATGAGACTGTAAGTTGGGTGAAAAATGACCTAAAATTTTTTTAAAGATAAACCTATTATAAACGAAAATTTAAGAATAATATTAACTCTGGTGATGCTAGCACGATGTCCCGAGAGAGAAAACTTTTCTGGTGGCCTAGGAATCCATTCGCCTGGGCTGCGTTTAGCTCTTGACGGTGCTCCTTCGATTACTTCTTTCTCAGCTTCGGATAATTTGGCTTCAAGTTCCATTACTTTCTTTTGTAAACGTATTACAGATGTCCACTTTTTCTCTAGTAGCCCGACTATTTTTCGTTCGGCTTCACCAGTAATATCTGCTTCTTTACGGAAAGCTTCTAAAGCACTTGAATAGCCATTGGTGCCTAGGTAATCGGCAATCGCTTGGTTACTGCAGTAAATATTGCAGACGTACTTTTGAAAATTTTACTAAATAATCGACTTTAAAAACTTACAGCTCCTCGCGCTGCCGCTGCGACAACACCATTTTCATACTGTTATTAAGTGATTACAGGGTTTCGTTGACTTTGCTTTGAAAAATTTCCGTTGTATATAAGCTACTCAACGAGAGTAAAAAAGAATATATATTGCTTTAATAACAGTCACTCAAGAATTTCTATCGCACTGATAGAAGAATCTTAATTAGAAGTTTGCAATTATTTTGAATAAGTTTTCGATATGTTTCTTCTTTTCGTTATATTTTCAAAATTGCCACACGTATAGAAATCAGATGTTTCAGAACTACATTCGAAATACTTAACGCTACTGGAAAAAATTTGCAAATAAGGACTGTAATTTTTGCTATAAACAATATCCAATATTTTAATTAGGCGAGAAAGCTGTATCCCTTTTCTATTGACTGAACACCTTGAATTGTCCCTTAAGTTTTAGGAATTTTCACTTTCTGTTCTTGCGTCTATAATTACGCACGCGGCTTCGGAGAGCAGCTACGTTCCGTCAGTTTTCTTTTCGAATTTACTTCGAGTGAAAGGATATATTTAAACGAAATATGAATAACCTAGTTTTTGGACAACTTAAAATTGGTGGATGGATATTAAACTAATCCAAAATCTAATGCTGCATACTTTCTGCTGTGTATTTTCTTGTTCTTGATGCGCTTGATTTTGAATATAATAATCAGAGTGGTCATGAGGAAAAATATTTACCTCTGAGGTAAATACAACTCTTTGCTTGTCGCCTAATTGTACATAACAGCTACGCAAGGTCTATATTATAAATACTTCATTTCTGAAATTAACACAATGTTTCATAAAGGTGAAGTTTACGCGGAAAAACAGAACTTACTGATTTTTTTTGTGAAAAAAAAACTTACCAGCCAAAAAAAGAGCTAAATACAATTCAGTTGCAATGAAATAACTGCACATAAAATGCTGTGGTGCATTATTTAACTTAATCGAGACATGATTTTACAGCGGCAAAAATACACGTTGACGTCATAGAATAGGTAAAAATAATTTTTAAAGACAAACTGCATGTTTAAAATATCTTATAATCCACCGTTCTATGAACAGTTGTCACAATATTTTAAACTATCCACCTTCATGTAAATAACCCCAGCTTGTAACTACATTCCGGAAAACGTGCTGCTTTTCACGCAGCATTTGAAAATTTGAACAATGAGACGAGTTTCCACCGTTCCCGTGTTGCGGCATACTTTACTGCCAGAATATGTATCGTCGAAAGTTAATATGGTTTTAGTAAACACACAAAATGCACATCAAAATTCTCTCACCAACGCCATTGATATTTTTATATTTTTATATTCTAGCGCGTGCTACAAAGCAATCGTATGCGATGTGATCATTTCAATCAATCAATTTTCAAACAATTTCGCTCCTAAAATTCATTTATTTATAGAATTTACAAGCACCACACATTTAGCTAAAGTTCGTTAATTGGTTAATAGGTGATAACATAGTAAAATTGATGCTTTAAAGGGGTGGAACTGAAAAATCTCGAAATTATATCCGTTCAAATAAAATCGTGCACATGGTTGTTTACATTTGCAAACAAGAGCACTTGCTGGTGATGAAGATTTTGAAAATAATCGCTAAAAATTCCCAAAACGAGTTGAGTGAAATATCTATCTAATCTTCATTGAAAGATGACACAACTGGAATAAGGAGGATTATTATCTTACGAACGATTTATAACTAAACGAATTCTGCAGCGATTTGAAAGAGAATTTCATAGTACGTGAAAGTTGACGATTACTGATGTTACATGCATTAGAAATTCACCAATTGTAATTTCCCATACGAGCCCTCTTTAGTTTTAGAAGTTTAGAAGTTTATTTTATGCTCTTAGCCTAACTTCATATGACACAATGCGTAGTCATACGACTGCATATGAGTTAAAAATATTATGTTTGTGCAAACCAAAAGCGTGAAAAATCGATTCTGGAGGATCGATGTGATGAGCGCTTTAGTATTTCATATACCAACTTATGTATAAATTCGCAAATCACTCCATGATGTGTCATCATGAATGTTATACGAGACAGCATGCCATTCACACGAATATCTAAATTTTTAATGAACAAAAGCACATATCCCTAAAATAAAACATTAAACGAAACTGTAAGTGCACATTTAGTAGCGTGCCTCTGCTTTCAATTTTCGATAATCGTAGCGCACCAAAAATGAGACGGCCATCTTGAAAGAAAAAGCGAATTGGCAATCCAGGGAACAAGGGAATACGAAGTATATTAATTTTTTTATAAACATCCTCACATTACTAATTTTGACTAAAAAATTCTTATTTTCATGTTTGCATAATTGAAAGAATAGATTAATAGTAGTTCCATTGGTGTTCAAGAAGTTTTACTAACGTCTGGTAGCGTTTCATAAGTTTATATTTGTTTTAATAATATGGTTGGTTGTCGGTCTCGGAACTGCATTTTACTTACAAAGGATTAGCACAATTGTTATTAATATATGCACATATATTTCTTTTTTATTACAAAGTCGCACACGCGAAAATTTCCACAAGAAGCCAAAATTGATTTTTTTCAATATCTAAACATGAACAGTTGTATTCCTTTGTATGTATACCATTGTTGTTTAAGTTTATATATACAATTTGTTTCCAATTCAATTTCATTGAATCATTACTTGATTTGAAAACAAAAAACCTTCATGCTACTACCATTTATGTAACTTTGCGTTAAAGAAGGAATCTACCTGAAATGAAACATCAAAAGATGTATATGTTTATATTTCAATGTAATGATTGCACAAGTTCATGTTCGGATCACATAGGTGGCGTTCAAATGTATCAAGCTACTGAAACTTCGGATTATTTCTCGTACTATTTGAAATTATTTCTCACTTTCAGTTCAGTTAGACAAAACTACCAAAGATTATTTTTCATATTATTTCTCAATATTTGAAATTATTTCTCACTCTTATTGCGCCTGTTGTTTACTGAAACTTTTCTTACGCTGGAAAGTTGTCCAATTTTTTTAGCAAGCTTAGTAAACTTGTTTTTTTCTTGCAGATTGTCTCAGAGCAAAAATTTCTTTTTATGAACTTTCTGCACCTCTTCAATATTGACCCAGGAACAACGTACAAAAGGGAGAATATGGTTTAATACCATATAGCAAGTATAATTTGTTTTATATTTGTGTATATGCTTATGTTTATCTAATTTGCTTATTTTTATTTGCTCACATTTATATATTTGACAAAATTTATCCACTTTTCCGTATCACACATGAGTTACTCTACGCGAAGACCTTCTATTATTACTATATAGCTTATATTCCGGAATTAAACGAATAAAATATTAAAAACTAGTTCTTAATTCTATCTTATGCAATTTGAACTTTTTTTCGATGAGCACACTCGAAATCGGCATGCTGTTAGATCAAGAATTTCGAATTTTTATACAATAAGACTCTTAACATAAAGCCCGTACTCATTGCAGTCAACTTGACGAATCAAATGTCTTAAAATTACACAATAAAGTTGCTCTGTAGTTTTCTGGCCAAACAAACCTGAAAAGAAATTAAAATGATTGGAAGCACAGCAGTATTGGAAAGTCCTCATTGTTAAAGATAGAGTACAGAGTGTATAGGATATTTTTGAAGTATATGGAGAGGTAATTTTTATTTTGCTTGGAAAATTTTTTGGGAAGATTACGATCTTCGTTAGGAAATAGGTTTGTCCGTTACTTCCTCATATGATTATACAACCAATGTAGGTAAAATTAATATCAAAATATCTACAAAACTCCGCGTATGAATCTTTAAGAAGTCAATTCCTTCAACTTGCAGTTATAGACAAAATTTTCTAATTAAACGTATGCTTTGTGGATACCAAAACCTTTCATCTTATAGGAATGTTGAAAGTACTTGTGCTGGAGAATTTACTATCAATAATATTAAATCGTCTGGACTTATGGTCCACCCGACGTTTACAAAGTAAAGGGAAGAGCTGATACTCTTGTTTGCTAGTGCTCATCCTACTTCCTTGGGGGATGAAGCAATGAAGCGTCATTTTCGTTTTCGGGTTAAAAACTTCCAAGTGGTCAGCAGAATGTTAAACCCCGCTGCCACATTGTTTTTCAGGAAAATGTAAACAAATACACATAGTTTTAGATTCAAAAATAAGGAAATCAATGCAAACACAAACAATAAATTTCTAAAATATAATAAATTTATTAATCTTCATAATATGCTCAAATTTTATAATGCCTTCGAGAGCCTTTTTAAAATTTAACGTTTAAAAACGGTTCATATATTTTGAGTTTGCGCCATTTTGTAAACGATAAAATTTATGGGAAGGAAAAAAGTTCTTAGTCAAGTTAGGAATAATTGCAAAAGAAAGAAATTGTTATACCATTTAATTTCGCATATATATATGTCTTTACATATTAAATAGTGGTGAGGTCCTCCTCTGTTTTAGTGGAGTAATGACCACCCGACGACCAACGGTTAGCTTGTATTTACCTATAAGAAGGAAGAAGAAGGCGGTGGGGGCGCCACTCGTAAAGCCGTGGCTGAGGAGTTACTTCGACTTTCCCCGAAGGTGAAGCCGTCCCCCGGCACACATTTTTAAGGTCTGGAGGACAGGAACAACTGGACTGCGTACTAGTTCTTGAAATGATGAAGTCTGGCAATAGACGAATGCTCGGAGGCAGCGCGGGAGAAAAACGGACATGCTGTCAAGGAACATGCGTGAAAGGATCTGAAGGTCTCGATCGACGACGAAGAGGTGCCATCGGGCTATGTCCGGGCAACGGTAGCGTCCTTGCCAACAAAAAGAGCCATGAGCAAGAGCAGAGCTTCGAAAAAGCCCGGTGCGGCACCCCCAACAATGATTTCGGCTGGCTACTTACAAGACGGCGGGCAATCAGAGAACGTGTCGAGCCCTCAAGGAACGTTTGGAGCTTCTAAAGCCTCGAAAATCCACCGACCGGCGGCGCCGACGAACAGGCCGACAACAGGCGAATTGACTGCGGAGCAACTTGCACACCGAACTAACCAGAGGCGCACGAAAGTCAAGGGACGCACCGTTATATTTGCATTTGCGCCCTAAGGCACGGCGTCTAAACAAACCTCCACCATGCTAACGCCGCCTCTTCGGTTCTTAGATTTAGTAGCGATTTGGGCCATCATGTCTTTCCCCGAAGGAAATCGCACATTGGTGATAGCCTAAACCTATCTACCGCCGAGGGAGACACCTACAGTCAAGGTAACTGCGCCTTGTCTAGTACTGAAAATCTTGCAGACTAGACTAACTTGTCGGCTGTGATGCTAACGCCCGCTACACAGTTTGTGGCAGTTCAAATGGCAATCTGAGAAGCGAGTGCCGCCTTGATTGCTTTTTAGAAAATACTGTTATTATTCTAAGCTGACGTAAAGAGCCCACGCTTAGAAATTCAGTCAGGTTGGAGGTGTTACGCATTAGTCTTAGCAGCTTCTACCTAAGTTCCCCATTGTGGCCGCTGCAAGGTCATGCCAAACCGACAAAGATCCCAAACGTACGAATTAGAAAGCTCTTTGCTTTCTATTTTCGGAAAACAGGAATACATCTTAGCGTGGAGGCCATTGAACTTAAAGCTCTGTTCAAACTTACAAGAAGCCTACCTAGAAAACTGTCTTTTAAGGACTAGTCTACGAGGGAGGTGCCCTGGGGGAATCAGAGATTTCAATAGCTCAAAAGATCCCAGAGTAGGAAATTGTTCAAAATGGCTAAAAAGTGAGAGGAATTGACCAAGTACAAGGAAGCCCTCACCACATATAATGCCGAACTGAGGCGGTCGTAGCGGGCTAGTTGGAGGAGCACTGTAAAGACATAAATAACCTCTCAAAAGAAGTGCAGCTCCAAAAAACCACAGCTAAAGACCACAGCAATGGAGAATGTACTCTAAAGAAGCCTAGTGGAGATTACACCGAAGATGCTTGTCTTGTCCTGATGGAGACCACTTTCCAGGATATTTGCGGTACACGAGAGTAGGGACCCAGGCGTGTCCAAGAAAAAGACAGTTACCGAATTCTAGGGAACATAGTCTCGCTCACTCTCTCCAAAATCTTCTGTGCGGAACGGGTACAATGGACCGTGTTAAGTTCCGTCCCATACAAAACGTCGGACACAGATGCGATCAGGCCGTGTTCATTCCAGCACGACGCAGAAAGTCTTGTCTTACAACTTGCTAGACTCTGCTCACGGGTTACGTATCTCAGCAGTGGAAAAACGCCAGAGTGGTTTTTATAACGAAAGCAGGGAGCAAGAATGAATACCTGCCGAAATCATATAAATCTATCTACCTGAGTTTCCTTCTCCTCAAAACTATGGGGAAAAGTTTAGAGAACTTCATTAGAGGAACCTACCTGGGAATAAGGCCCCTAAACAATTACCAGTTTGCCTATCAAAGCGGCAAATCTATCACGACAGCAATTGATGAGCTGAACAGCATTATCGAGGGGGCGATAGAAGCCAAGCAAGTGGCTCTCGTTGCCTTCATCGGTATAAAGAGGGCCTTTGATAACGCATCATACGCGGCTATAGGAAGAGACTTGGAAAATAAAGTTATTCCAAACCTGATTATCAATTGGATAATCAATATGCTGAATTCCAGGCTCGTTAGTTCGGAGCTGGCACGTACATCCTTAATCATCAGGGTGAAGAGAGGGTGCCTCCTGGGGGCCTGCTCTCTCCTCTAATTTGGACCATCGTCACAGTTGAGCTGCTAACGAAATTAAACGACCTGGGATTCAAAACATTAGGTTATGTACACGACTTGGCAAACTCCAAGGTGGGTTCGGATCAAACAACGCTCCCTGATCGCATGCAGAAATCCCTAAGCATAATCCACAAGTTGTGCCGTCGCAAAGGACTGAACGTTAATTCACAAAAAATGGTCCTTGTCCCTTTTCGGAAAAGAAGAAATTAAGATTGGACAGTGTCCAGTTGCAGATGTGGTTGACTATTGAAATGAGGTGAAATATCTGGGTATCTACTTTGAAAGAGGCTTAACCTGCAATCCTCATTTAAGATGGCCACGGGGTATAAGCCCAAAAATGATCTGCTTGTCTTATACCACCATAATCCTCCCCATGCTAATCTATGTAGTTTTCGCCTGGTGGCCTAAGCTGAAGCAAAAAAAGGAGGCAACGACATTAAATAAAACCCATCATCACGTCTGCATTGGCACACCTCTTCCTATTGCCATAGAAAAAGGGGGTCGCCCAAGCGTACTTAGAGTGCCGAATTTCGACAGATTAAAACTGTCTAATTGCCTGGACGCCCAGAGGTACTGAAAAACTTCATGGACGAACCTTTTGTCAAGGTGACGGGCCACTTTGTTGCAAAGCTAGTAGTGTTCCACTTTTTGAGGTGACGATATTGCCGTGATCGGGTTGGGACGGAAGGCTTTTGAACCCGGGGTGGTGTCAAGGAAATGCCACATCGACGGTTCAAAATTGGAAAATGGCAAAACTATTCACATGATATAATTTATAAAATTCATTTGCTTTCGTCCTATTTCACTAAATATATATAAATATATATATATATTTGAGACAATCGAACGTCTATTCTTTTGGTTTAGGTTGGCTGTTCTTCTTCGTTTTTGGTGTAGGTTGCTTGTTCTTCTTCTTTTAATTATTTTACACACATAAAAATGAGCTCAAAGTGAAAAAATATTTATATAGCTTCGATTTATATAGTTTCATATATATAAATTATTTATACTATATTTATTTAATTTAGTACGAAATTTTTAATAAGTTGTTCCCATCAACCCCTATTAGTAGCTACGAAATATAATTCTAATTTTTTTCCCAACTTTTTTTTATGACCTTTCAACCTATGGCCTTAGCTTATTATATCAATGGGACATATCCCTCCATAACCCAAGCAGAAGTCTGCGCAATCAGCGGATGTGCCTCTGAATCCGTAAGAAGACAATGAGGATCTGCAACAAGCCGTCTTAGTACCCCTAAGGGGGCAAATATTTAACTTTGTGTTGGAGTACCTTCAGCAGGCACAGTGAGATGCACCTTATTTGGGTATCTGGACATCCGGGCAACGGAAGGCCTGACTGTCTAGCCAACAGGGGAGCCCGAAGAGCAATGGTAGGTGCTGACCTGTTTTGTGGCGTACCAAGAAGTACAGGCTTGAATTGTAATGGGCACGGAATAAAGCGGCTTGGTAGCAAGAATGTGCAAGACAAAGGCAGGCAAAAAGATTCATAAAATCTTCCAGTGGGGTTGGAACAAAGAAAAAGCGACCTACGTTCAGTCACTGGCTTCTACACGGGTCATAATTCCCTAAGGTACCATCTGAAAAACGTGGGTATGTATGATACTGACTCATGTAGATTGTGCCAAAGGACGAATGAAACGTCCCATCACATTATCTTTGAATGTGAGGCCATCTGGAGGATCAGACACGAAATGTTTTGCGGTCAGTTTACTACGCCGATCATGGTATGGTGCTCCGATCCAAAAAGGTAGCGGGATTTATAAAAATCCTAAAATTAGTTAGGGTCATGGGCGTGATTTCTAGATTTCTAGGTCGTGGTACGTCTGACCCACGTAATTAATAATAATAATGTATATTAAATAATCATGCATATCCTTTATACACATGTATATGTGAGTGCTATGAAGTGTAGGAAGGATATATTTCCTTTTAACGTTAAATGATGGCCAATGTGTTTAGCAGTAAAAAACTCTTTTTTTCTTCCACTTAAAATGCATTGGTAAGCGTGGGTGCATCTAAGCATTGTTCATAAAAAAATTTCACCTACATGCACTTATAATAAGAGGAACAAACATTCTAAACACAATCATATTGGAGGTCGAATAAGTCCTTCAACAAATGTGAATGTGTGGAATTTGTGCTTGAAAGTCATTGCCTAATATGTCAATTATTTATGTAAGAAAAGAGATACCTAGAGTTACTGTAAAAGTGTGAAATTGCGTTGTTGTATGTATGAGTGTAATTGTAAGATAAACAAAAAAAAAATGCACACATATTTGCCGGATTATTGGATAAAAAGTTCATTTCTATCAAGGATGAGTTTGCGGTTGCGATTGGCTTTATTGGTTTTATTAAGAGGACTTACAAGAAAGTCTTTATAGTGGAAAGGAAAACTGTACCAAATTGCCGATTACGTATTGGTTATTAGCATACAAAATAATGGACGACAGTTCGTATACAAGGCATTGAGGTTGTGTTTTTTAATGTACTAAGGAACTTAACACTGCTTTCTGTGATCAAAGGACGCTCTACCGCACAGATGTAAACCCGCGAACAAAGATTTGGTAAATGCGTTTTTTAGCTACTCGGTTTTCTTAATACGAAAATCAAATGTATTTTTCTTATAAATTTTTGGTGTAGTTTTTTTTGAAACGAAAATCAAATGTATTTTTTTTTATAAATCTTTGGTGTAGGCCTTCTTGAAACAAAAATCAGATGTATTATTCCTAGAAATTTTTGGTGTAGGTTTTCTTGAAAATCAGATGTATTTTTCTTCTAAATTCTTGGTGTAGGTTTTCTTGAAACGAAAATCAAGCCTTTAAAATGAACGACTTTCTATTTATGATGAATTTCCCTCAGTTGTTACTAATGTTTCTTAGCAGAGCCATAATCTTTCCAATATCGCAAGTCCAAGAAATAGACCTATGTGATTCAAATTTGGTCCACTTCAATCAATATCAATCTGTAAGGAAGCAAAAGCATTTTCTCAAAGTGTTTTGCAATTTGAGTGTACAGGATGAGCAAATCCTCAGTTAAACAGGGACGGCGTACTTAGACCAGTGGAACATGTCGAGTTCTATGAAGACCCCTGCAGGCCAGACATATTAGTGGGCATTATTATACACTTTGTCGGGAAACGAATTCAGCAGATAGCAACAGCTTAAAGCACTTCGATGACTAACAAGGTAATGAATACACAAAAGCTACATGCTTTGGATAAAGTTGAAAGTTTCTCCAATTTCTGTGTTCTCTGTTGATAATATAGATTGCTCCACGATCAAATGAGAAAGAAGCAGATTCTTTCACGCCGCCTGGTAGTTCGAAATATGTTAAAAAGCGACTGTTAAAAATATGAGTTCAAAATCGGGCCGTTTAGCTTAACTGAGTGAAGCCGAGCTTCTTAGTATGGTACCGGATGATATAATAATCGAAAAACTGCTGCTCCCGAAAGTTACGACGAGGAACCGCCCCCTCCGGGTGTCTAAAGTTATTAATTATTTTAGATTTATAAAATTGCACACATTATAAATACTCCATTAAGAGATATTTTGGATGTGTGAATAGAATTGGGAATTGATGAATATGCTTATGAATTTAGGTGTATTAAAAAAATATAGTTATGGCGCTTTCTTCCCAATGTTTATACCGATATTTCCCAATTTTTATTTCTCAGTTTATATTCTATTTTAATTTCAAAAAGTTTTCCGTTTTTGTAAAGCACTTTATTTGTCCTTTTTTCAAATCTTTGTTCATAATTTTTCATATACGTTTTGGTTTTGAATTTTTTACCCGAAACGTTTTTTTTTTCTTTTCTTTTCCGAATAAGTGAAAAGCTATATAATGCTTAGCATTTTTATTGAAAATTCAACATATGTCCCTGTAGAAGAATAAAAACAATATAATTTATAATTAAAATTAAAAAAAAAACGCATTTCGTTTATTTCTTAATGAACCGATTCATTATTTAATGTTGAAATAGTGATAATGGCTTTAGTTGATGGTGCAAGGATCATGCTTAGCATTAAAATGAGCACATGACACCTTTGGCCCATTATGCACTCTTGGTATAGCGATATGAAAGACAATGCTCTGCTGCATACACCCGCATAATTTATACTGAACACTCCTTGTCTGTAAATCCAATTCAGCTTTAACTATTGGGATTTTTTCCATATTTCAATATATACCGGAATTTTCTTCCAAAGTAAGAGCACCTTCAGTGTAATTTATTAAAAGATTATGTTCAGCTTGCAGAAACATTGCGACTGCATCCATGCGAATCCATTCAGAACCTATAAATACGCGATAATCTGGTGCCGTTATAGCCAATGACTCATTAATGGCACTGGCTATACGACTAGCTAATTGACTTACTTAGCAGCACATTAGCTCCTTTAGGCATATTGTAATGAGGCCGATGCGTTGTAAATATAACTGCACCAGTTTCTGGATCCTTAATATCAAAAGTATTGACATCACGAAATTGCACGCCTGACTTATCCACTGTAAGTTGATTATGAATTTGACCGTTGCGTTGATGAAGCGTACGAACATAAACCGTTGCGTTGTCCCCAGCCATTGTAAGCGGTACATCGAGCACCCAACAGACAAATATAAAAGTCTCTCAGTTGTTACGATGTAGTTTTGATAACGCGGAGGCGAATGCAATTTTCTAAATACTGGTAGAGTATAGTGTAGGCCGAAGTTTCCGATTCATTTGCCGGTATTAAATGATGATAATTTCTTTATTAAGACTTTTTTAATTTTCGGGACGTAATCCAAAACTGTGTCGGGACTAATCCCATTTGCATTATTTTGCTTCAATTTGTGCAGTTATCCAATATTGGTTGTAGAATTATTTGAAATGAAGCCACATCAATCATATTCAAATTTCCAGACCACAAATTTGTATTATATCGCATAATGTTGTCCTAGAAATTTGGTGAATCAGCAGCGTTGAAACGTATGTAGGAATCGGCGGTGTGGGTATCGATGCCGTACTCGTAGATTCTTGATCGCTTTCGTTTTTTAAGTGAACTGGATAATTTTGTTAGCTGATTTTTTTGGAAAGAATCCATATTGCTACTTGTGATGGATGGACCTGTGGTTGAAGACTTCCAATTATTTTCTCGCTCCTTATCGCTTATTAAATTTTCCGCTTCTTCAATGGTTTTTGTGGACTCTCACGATATCGCCTCTTTATAGGTACTTTTGTGGCGCTTCTCTCTTTCGCGATGACGATCTTTACTTCTTGGTCGTTTTTCGTGATCACGTTCTCTAATTTTCTCTTTTTCTTTACTGTGGGTGGATGGCTTTAGTTTTTCATCACCTTTAACTTTATCGAACTGTAGCAGAGGTGAGTTTGACTCAATTCGTATAGCCAGCGAAGAGTCAACTTCGGACTGTTCTTTTCTCACTGCCGATGGTGATGCTTATTCAATCGCTTCTATTGAACTGGTTACTCAAGATTGAGTTAAGGCTGAAACTACATCCACAGGTATTGTTAAATCTAAGTTTGTATAACCAACAGCAAATGTATCTTCTATAACTTCCTCGTCTTTATGAGTTTTTAAAAAATAGTTTTTAGCACAAGGAAGTAAATCAAGTTCCGATTTTTTAATCATTTCCAATTGATGCTTAGCTTCATTTTCCCGCCATTATACCAATTCTTGACTTGCCATTTCTTCTGGAGACATTCGCATCAATTGTTTCGGTTCAAGCAACTTCCCACAAATCTTAGCGAACAACGTTTGATTTTTTCCATCTTTAATGTTAAATATAAGCGAACGGTATTTGGCCCTATATTTATTTCCAATATCGCAACTGAAGTAATTGTATATTTCTATTTCAGTTGCTTTAGCAAACTCATTAATCTCTTCCGTGGACAGTTTGGGTATTCGAGTTTTACTGGTTTGCTCATGATCACTAAATGCTTTCAATTGCAATTGCTCTTTGAGTGTACGTCCTACAATCAGACGTATGGGTTCAGAATCCAATTTACTGGAGCTAATAGAGGCATTGCTGCTTCTTTCTCCTTCGCTGGATGGTCGTTTCACAGGTTTTTCTCGGCCACCTTATCTTCGGGGGTTTTGATAATCTTATCGAGTCTTATCGAAGGGTTACGGATATTTTTGCAACTGCTTCGGCGTGCTTGGGCGCGGGCTGGGCGATGATGAAGATGCTTTAATATAATCCGAAATTGTTTCCAATGACTAGGAATGTTAAGTGGATACATTTTATCTACTGAAGTGCCAAAAGAAATATTCGATGAGTATTGAAGAAAATTTTAGATGAGAAGGAATTTTTGTTTAAAATATTTAATCGTAACTATCAAATCTATTTTTGTTAGAAAGTTATCAGCATAAAGCAACTTATTGTTTTAACGGTCATGATTATATTAGAAACTTTCTACGTAAAGGTGGTTGTGTCGTTAACATGTCTTATCATATATGTACGGGTTCAATCAAGCCTGCTAGATTCATTCTGTTTCTACACATATTGGCAATATAAAAATGCTGGACCAGGACCGTTGTTAACTGTTCTTAAGATTAAAAAGAAAAATAAAACGTCAAATAGAATTCGCGCAAACTATATTGGCACTCTATAGTCAATTTATGTTTTGCAAACCGCAGCACAAGCCATAAAAAGGAGGACTTACATGTAAAAATTTCTCAATGTACAATTCTATTCTTACGGAGACAGAGAGAGAAGAGCAGTTATATCAATCATCAGCCGATGTTATATGGTTATAAGCACAAATCCAATGATGCTGGTTGAGGCAGCCATTTAAAGTAATAATCTCAGTAAGCAAACATCCTCCTCAATAATATAAAAATCACCACTGTTATAAGCGTCGTCATTGTTGTCGATAATATCGGCGGTATTATATTAAGTTGTTTGCTTGTACTTTAGTATAAATCATTTTATGAATATTGTTTTCACTTTTCGCTTTATTGATTATAGAATCATCATTTTCTTTTGAACTTTGAAAACAATTATGACTTTAAATGTAAGCACATGTTTTTTTGTTCTTCTGATAAATATTCTCCAGCGAGCCTTCCATCGTAGGTAGCAGATGACATTCGCCAAGAGTCTGATCATGTACCACTATTTCCTCCCAAATTTACACTGCATTAATAATAGGGAAAGATGTAAAAATGGAAGCCAAATTGACGTTTATTTGTTTTCTATGAACAAAGTACATATTGTAAACAATAAGTGTTTAAATTTGTAGTTTTTATTGTACAAAAAGTTATTTGATATATATTTTTTTTTACAGATTTTCCATAAAGGTGACTGTTAACTCATTTTCGTTCTGTTATAATATATTCTTAGTGATTAATTCATACAAATGATGTCTTCTTCATCATTATTTTAAATTTTCTCTTGCATTCCTGTATGCCGAACCTTTTTTTCTTTTATGCTCATATATGAACAAATAAAAAGAAGATACATTCAAAAAGTACAACAAAAAGTTCTCTTTTAATCAAAACAACCACTTTTAGTATTTATTTAATTTTTGTGCAAATATTTGTTCGAATTACAACTTCACAAATTATTTATATTTTCAAAATTGTTATGTTTATAAATTTCGTTCCAGCAGTCCTATAACTCCTTCATCCAACTGTCTCAATTCTTCATAGATCACACAATATTCTTCTCAGCTTCTTTGGAATGTACGAGTACTTTCCCTCTTTCTGTAGAATACGCCAGCGACCCAACAAAATATTCAAGAACTTCATTTCAGAAAAAAATGTTTATATTTATGTAAATAAAAATAAGTGATAATACACAAGTACTCAGAATACTTACTACCATTCCGATAAGGCTGTGTTTTCCTTTCAGACACCTGCTTCCTCTTTCGCTGCCTTTAAAAAGTATATATGCGTTCCATCAACACATCAATCACTGTAATAAATAATACAAATGTGATAATGGTCGTTTATTGTAAAACGAAAAGTTCAATTACTTGCCCCCTGGAATACTAAACTTCTGATAAAACCACATATTCATATCCGCGTTTATTATGTATTGAGTCCACTCTGCACAAGGTTTTGTTTCCAACTGTAAGGTCGCTGCATACCAGGCATTGGTAAACTCCGGAGGCCTATAAATCTCACATTATGGCTGAGCGCAACACCGGCGATATATATGTGTGTTTCTCATTCAGCAAATAATGAAAAGCCGCTTTGGAAACGCGAAACTTCTGCATAAATCCACATAAAACAATATAACATGTATTTATACGTCATTTGCAAATAGTGATTTCGAGCAGAGTTTATTTTTTTTCTGATTTTTTAAAATTTTTGATTTTCTAACAAGTGTTTATATTTTTCTTTTACAGTTGTTTTTCCATTAATGCAGCGTAAAAATAGGAGATTTGTGGTAACTTTGCTTGGTTTATACTCAACGCTAATGTATTTTCAGCGACAGCAATTTTATTGTCGCCAGATTTAACGTAACTAGGAGGAAGATTTGCAAATGAGAGAAAATTTGCTAACATAATTTAGTAATAATTTAATAATTTTGGTTAGCTTATTAATTCATGAAAAAAAAGAACCCGACCTTTATCAATGATCGGTTTGGTCGCGAATGAGAGTTAATTTTCAAATACGTGATTACCCTTTTCAGTACAATATATAGTTTTAATTGACATGAGCAGCTCTTGTCCTTTTTAGTTCTAACTCTGGTCAGGGTTGTGCACACATACTTTACAATTCGCCCTTGATATTATCTTCGCTCCTCCTGAACCTCCCCAACTTACACTTTCAGTTAATAAGACTAAGTGGATGACGAGCCCAGTATATTTTGAGGATCCTTCCGTAAGGAAGCGAAATGTTAGAAGGCTGCTGCATTATCTCTCTGTAGAGGAAAGCTATGGTAATGAATAAAGCTGAATTAAATAAGTAAAAAAACCTTGTTTTCGTTTACGACCGGCTACTTAATACATCTGCAATTAGCAATAAAATTGAATCCAGCGTGCGTTAGAATAAATTGGAAATAAAATTTTGTAATTGTGGAGGTAACAATCAAACGGTCGGGCCCATTTTCGCACCGAACAGCACCAGCGGCTGCTTTAACATCTTAGCTATTGTGAGCGTGTTTTCACGTATGTTTCGTGTTTTAGCTTTCCAGCGAAGCCATGCTGTACCGGTCTATATAAATATTAATCAGAAGGCGACATGTCTGGTGAGTCAACTGGTTGCGGGAAAGCCACGTTGCAACGTCGCATGAACTTGAAGCCGAAGAAAATTATAATTTTTTGTGCCTGCCAAGCAATGGAACCGCAATTTTGATGCGTTTCGAAATGGTATTTTCAATCAAGTTTTATGGTAGCCATTTTTCCTCCTTTATGATCTTTCCCGCCGCGTGTAAACGTATAGAAACAGTTGATTCATCAACAGCTAAGCTGTTTGAAGATTCGTCAAAAGTTTGAGCTGGGTTTTCATCCAATAAATCTTGCAATTGATTGTCTTCGAACTGTTTTGGCCCTCCAGGCCGTTTTTTATCATTGCCATGAAAATCATCACTATTGAACAGTCGAAACCAAAACCGAGAATTGGATCAAGCACATCATCTATATTATAAGCACCTAGTATTACCACTTTACTATATTAATTCATTAAAACATAAGAGGAGCACGATATAACCATTCCCATATGCAAAGAAATACTTAAAAAAAAAAGGTTTAAATGTCGCTTATATATTTCCACTAATAACATTTAGATTTAAGTTACCGCTTTCTCAACAAACCATATACTATAGGCATAAACATGTTAATTTTGCATTCATTTATTGATTCACACACGTAACATTATGATTATACCAAAAATGGAGCAAAATACTTGTTTATGAATTGTGAACCGCAAATATGTTGTATTATTCCATACAAAATTACTGTAATTATTTAATAAAATCTATTGAAAAAGAAGAAATTGAATTGATTGCAAACTAACAAGTCAAGTTGCTCATTTAATTACTTTCACTTTATCAAATCAATGGGAGGTATAGCGAATTCGATTGAAAAATAGATGAAATTGTTTACAAATCAATGGGAGGTATAACGAATTCGAAATCCACCAAGTGGTTTCAGACTAGCTCATTTAAATCACTCTCAGATGGCAGTGAATCGAGCTGGACTTCAGGCCCGCTCAGTTAAGTTACTCTCAGATGACTGTGAATCGGGGTGGATTTGGATGAGTCATTTTATATTAGCGTGAAAATGTGAGAGCTGAGAATAAACTAGATTCAATGTATAATGTGTTTACGGGTTGTGTTTCTATAGAGCAGCGGATTAAAGACAAAATAACAAAGAAAATTGTAAAATATAAAAATCCCAGCAAAAGAGCTCATACTGAACTGAATTCAAACAGCGAAAAATTTATGTTCAGCAGAATATTAAAAATTTGTAACGAACAAAAATGTTCAGCTCTTTCACAGGCATAATAGCTTAAGAAAATATCAAGTGTTCTTCCGACACAATTGGTGTTTAAAATGCTTTAAATTTCTCTTCCAAAATCCACATACGTACAACAACTAAAGTTATTTGATGTAAATCACATCAATTAATTTAATTGATTGTATTTTATTAGTCATCGTCACTGCTGTGAAAAATGTTATTTATTTTTTGCACACGACCGGAGAGCAAAAATTAATAATTTTTGTTTCATAGAAATTTTCAATATGGGGTTTGATTTCCACAAATTGAAAATAATCGTATTCGTTGAAGTAGACAACAAACATAATTCGGATAGTAAATATCCGTAAAGTGTAATTTGATCTGTTTATTTATTCGATTATTTATAACTGGTATTGAACTTGAGCTTGTTGGCAAGGCTGGAACGTTATTTCCGTTAGGCTTACTCCTCTACGCTGTTAGAGGAAGATACAATGCCCTTTCACTTTTCCGTTATACCAAAAAAAGGAGGGGGCTTATTATAAGCTGAAAGAGCACTTTTTCTAGAAAACAAGCATCTAAGGCA